TTCGCAAAACCGGTTTTATGGGGTATCTTTCTCACGGTGCCCAATGGTACCCCACGGGTCAGACAGCGTGAGATAAGTACCCAGGTGTCATTTTCATCATTCCTGCCGGTTTGTACCCCTCCAAAACCCAAGAATCGATACCCATCATGCCGAGAACCGTTAAAAGTCATTTAGGCCCTAAATTGGCCAAAATGGCCCAAAATATGGCCAAATATTGTCCGGAAAGATTTTATTTTGCCATTTTTGAGTTCGGCGGGTCTGATTTAGCCGGAATCGACTCTTAGATCGCGCCCATAGCTTTATTTTAACGTCTTTCAATTTTAGGGGTAGTTTTTAACGCCACCCCCCAAAAACCCACCCCCGCAGCATATTTCAGATAGGTACGGCGGGCCAAATCGACCATTTGGGTGTTAAGAACAAGTGTGCAAAGTGGCTTGCTGGTATCACAATTTGCAGGTTATTTTTGTGTGCCGCTAGTACTAAGGGGGCCCAGCAGGCCCACCAGGCCCACCAGGCCCACCAGGCGCTGCTGGCACGCCAAGGCGACCACGGGGGGCCAAGGTCTGAAAAAAGAAGCGACAAATGAAGAAAAAGAAATTGTAATTGGCAAGAGCTGATATAACCACTTCATTGCTCCCCTCGCACGGCCAGTCAGGGGGGGCAAGGCGCAGAGGGGCGGTGCGGCGAAACCTTGGGGGTGACACCAGCTGCTGCAGGGGAGGGAGGGTGAGGGGCAGCGCTGGGGGAGGGGGCAAAACAATGAGTGACGTAACCAGCGCCAGCTGATTGCTGTAAGGTCACAGGGTGCACAAGTAAGCACCGCAGGACAGGGACCGCCGCCCGAGGTGCGTGCTCGGAGATGATTTTGTTGACACAATAATAGACAAATATATGTTCCGTCGCGTGACCCAGCTGGGCCACTTCAGGTTGTCGTACACACCAGTGTAGAACACGGGCGCACCTGTCCACCGAGATGGACATTATTCCCAAGAGAGTGAATAATTACTGTTTGACTATCAAAACAGCACATGTATACTGAAACAATAATATCGAAAATACAGCCATCGATTTCGTGTGCTGGTAGTTTTGACAGTCACTGCGTGCCGTGTCCGCGGCCGACGCGGAGGGCTGCGGGTCGTGTTAGTTTGCCAAAGGGCGATTAATCATTGTTCAATGACCGACGTTCGTCGCCGAGCTCGGCTATCGGGTTTCCGTGGCCGGGCGTGGCGGGGCGTGGTGGTTCGGGGCGTGGAGGTACCGAGGGGAGGGTCACAGGCCCGGGGGCAGCGGGGCGCTGGGCCAAGTAACCCTCCCCCTTCCCCTCACTGACTCACAGACCAAACGGAGTGGTGGCGCGGGAAGGGGGAAAAAAATGTGTACAATTCGGCCGAGAGAGGTCGTAAATTAATCCCAGGAGGCACTCGGTCTGGTGGCCCGGCTTGACCCCGCGGGGGCCGCCGGCCGCGGTGACCTCTCCGCCCGATAAGCACCTCCAAGGGCGCAGGCGTCCTGCGTACGTACGCAGTATACTGGGCTGAGCTGCAAGCACGCGTCCTGCATACTGGGCTGAGCTGCACCTCAAGGACACAGGCGTCCTTCGTACGCACGCAGTATGTACTGGGCTGAGCCGCAGCTGCAAGCACATGCCCTGCGCCGCGGCACGTGTGGCGGTTTAACGAGCCAGGTGTGTCGCAGACCCGACAAAAGGATGATCGCGCCGAACAAGTTTCCGGTATCACGGCGCACGGGAAAAAACTCTAAGAGAATCAAAAATAAACCGCGTATCAGATACGGTGTAATACGCGGTGTGAGCTGCGTCGTCGGGTACTTTCGTCGACGAGGACTCCTCGAGCGGACGGCGGCGGCGGGGAGGGGCGACACGAACTGGCCGGACGCATCTAAAACGAGATCACACCGCCTCGTGGCGCGGCTGTACCGGGAGCACGCACTCTCCTCTCGCCCGAGCGGGTGAATGCACCGCGAGCTCGGGGTGCGGGGCGAGGAGGCGCGGTGTGGCAGCAATGGGGGCACAAGAGGAGAGGGGGCACAAATTGACCCATTCACAACACGCCGCGGGTGGTGGTGGAACCTTGCAGGGTCACGAGCCGGCGGTGGTGTGGCCCATAGGCGGCCCTCTGCTGGGGTTGAGGCAGTCCCGGCCGTCCCGACCCGGGCCCCCATATTAACGCCCCCCCCC